TGCAAGCAGGTGAAAGGAATTGGAACTCATGTCAGAGGTGATATCTTATTCCTTTTTCCTGTAGATCAATACAGCTACAACCTGTCTACCTGTATACATGCAGCTGGAACTGAACCTGGGGTTGAAAAAAACTAAACCAGCTATTTGTCATCCCCAGCCCCAACAGTCTCAGGTCTGGAAACCATTTAGGATTAGGTGCAGCCCTAGGTCCAGAATCAGCATTGGGGCAGCTCCACATTCCCACCTGGGAACAGGAATTTTGTAACACAGGCTTGACCCATGTCTTTAACTTTCAGCACATCAGCAGCCTTCTCCTACTTCAACTACCTAGCAACAACATCAGCGGTGGCAGCAGTCCCTCGATACAAAGGTAACAGTCTTTCAGCAAACAGGGAAGTCCAGAGGTGATTGAAGCGGCTGATCCAAGATCTTCATGTCAGAGGAAGCTAGCTCCCCATTTTGAGTTGGTGAGCTTATATAGAATGTTTTTCCAAGTGCTCACCTTTACTTTTGTCTTCATGGTGTGCTCTTTGTATGAGAGGATTCAATGGAGAGTGACTCCAAGGTAAACTGGATTTGGGCAGTGGGATTGTGGGGTCCCAAACCACATAATGTTGAGTTGGCAGTTGGCCTTAAGGTTTTTTAGAAGGAAGGCACATAATTGTGTTTTCACTGGGTTAGCACATAATTAGTTTTCAATATAGTATGAGGTTAGGCCAATTAGTGCCTCACTTAGGCATTTTTCAACACGGTCAAAGCCAGTGTTTTGGGCTTGCACAGGTTGTCTGCACAGATGAAACGTTTTGTTTCTAAATCAATAGGTTGGTCATTCGTGTAAATGTTATATAACAGTGGTGCAAGTACACTTCCCTGGGGGAGGCCATTAATCTGTCTCCTCCATCTGCTTCGCTTCCCATCTAGTTTGACAAAAAAAATCTGTTTTCAAGCCAGGTTTGTATCAGCTCTGTCAGGTTTAGATTTTGTGCCATTCCCAGGGTCTGTGGAAGAGTCATCAGTAGTTAATTGTATCGTAGGTGGCTGTTACATCCAGGAAGACAGCTCTGGTGATTTGGCCTCTTTCAAAACTGCCCTCAGTATGTTGAGTCAGATTAAGCAGCTGGCTCGCTGTAAATTTTCCAAAGTGAAAGACACCCTGTTTGGGGATTAGGTGTTTATCCACATATGGGTCAAGCTGGTTCATTATCTGTCATTCGTATAATTTATATGTGTGGCATAGCAAGAGAGAAAGGTCTGAAGCTCTTTAGGTCGGATAGATCTTCCCCTGGCTTCAGAAGCGCCACAACTTGAGCATGTCACCATATCTTTGGAATTTTTTTGACTGGCTATGCCTGAGTTGCATAGGCTGAGGAGCCATTCTCCAGTCTGGAGTCCAAATTGCACCAAGATTTTCTTGGCTGATACTGATAGCTGATTATTAAGCAACCATTTCGGCTGATGCCGATCCGATAACCAATATTTAGTAATAATGTAAGGCATTTTAAACTAATGACATAAATAAACTTTTTTTTTTTTGGCCATGCTCCATCACATGCATCAGCCTCCCAGCACGTAAAAATGGCAGTAGGGGCACTGGAACTAAAGCTTGTCGAATGAGCTCTAGTTCGAGCACCACTGCCACCATTCTTAAGCATGGGGATGCTGATACAAGACACTTTTCATCTTTAACTCTAATTAAAGCACCCCCCGCTCCCCCAAATGGTCAGAGCAGAGCCACGCAGGGCGAGGGCAGATGCGGGATGCTCACTGCGGGCTCAGGGCCCTCTGCCCTGCATGTATGGGTCTCTGCCCTGCTTCTGTTGCCCTGAGAACCCCATGCCAGCTGCATGTCCCCTGTCCACTTGGCAGCAGGAGGCACAACTTACTGCCAGAGATGTGGGTTTTCCAGAAAATTCTGAATTGGAAAATTTTCCAATGCCCTAAATAGAGCCTGATCTGATTTAGCATGTTTATTTGAATTATATTTAGTAAACAAAACTAAAAAAGTACTCCCATGTTAATTTTATGTCCCAATAGCCACAAGTATTTGAACTGAAATATTTGATTAGGAAAAAAAAGAAATCCAGCACACTTAATGTGGTTTAAATGTTATATTCAAACAAATTCAAATATTTATATGGAAAGCAATTATTTTTATTGGAATACTTGTAAAAATGTGAAGAAAATACACATTTCCCTTTTACATTGTATGTTTAAATTTAAGGGAAAAAAATGAAAGCACTGAAAACTGTTGACACACTAATTTTAGCGCACCCAAAGAACTGTGCATGGTATGCCGTGGTTGTCCTCTCATCTAGTTCAACACAGTTTACTCTTTTGCACTAAGGTCATTGCGGCACCTCCAGTTTCACTGTCACTATCTGTAAAATCACTTGCACTATGTATTAGTTCCATGTCAGAATCAGATTGATGCAAATCTGATTCACAACTACTTGAACCACATTCTCTTTCGCTAAAGCATGGTTTTACCAATGGGTCTATGGGCAAGGGCAACTTCATCACACTACATCTTCTTCACAAACGGTGCTTCTGACTGATTCTCCAGAAGCAAGAGATTTTAAGAAATAGAAACAAGCTTAGCCGTGCATTCATTTGATTTTGATTTGACCTGCACAGTCAATTACGTTAATTCATAATAATCCAAACACTCACATAATTTGATTTTTGATTTACCCTCCTGTTTACAAATCAATACAACGTATATGTACTCTCTCTCACACTTCCTAGGAATAATCGCTGGAAAAACATTAATTACAACTTTGAAACTGCCAAGCTTGCCTAATATTGTATTGGCATCCATTCATTGTTACTAATGAATTTTATGAAACAATGAATTCTTAAAAATAGATATTTTTCCATGGAAAAATAAAGCACTGGAAAATTTTCTGCCCCACATCTCTGCTTACCGTCCCCACTGCTGCCAGGTGGGCAGGAGGTGTGCAGTCAGCACGGAGCTCCTGGGGCAAGGGCAGCAGCAGATCACGGAGTTCCAAGCTCGCAGCAAGCAGCCCGCATCCACCCCATGCAAATAACTGTGCCTCCATGCCTCTCCCAGCTGTGCACAGCCGCAGGGAGCCATCTCCCTTCCCCCTAAACAAGCCACCCGTGGCTGTGTCCTGATCCCTGCCCCAGCCCCAAGTCCCATGCACCGCCCAGGCTGGGCAGCACCTCCAGCCCCAGCCCCTACCCGACTCCTTCCCTCACCGTGGGGGCCTTGATTTGCCAGCCGTACACATGCACACAGTGTCCCCCGAGTCTCTCGCTCACAGCATCCCCAAGCAAAACCTCTTGGCAGGCTAGAATGCTGCCCGCCTGCACGGGGAAACCCACCTTTTCCCAAAGGAACCCAGGTATCTAGGGGCCCTAGCCCCATGGAGAGACGGAAACCAGGCATTCAAGGAACTAGCCAGAAGGCATAAATATCAGTAAGCATTACTGGCTACAGCAGTCAAAAAAGTTGATAGCCACTAATGTCATTTCACCTTTTATCAGTGCCAATCCAATAGGCAACCAATATATTGGTGCACCTCTAGAAATTGCTTGATTCATTCAGTAAGTATGCCATCAAGGCTGGCTCCTTTTCTAGTCTTCAGTGCATTAATACCATCATTCACCAGAAGGGGCTTATAAAACCCAGATCTTTGGGCCACTTGCATCTTTCCAGTCTGAGTTTTTGTTTGTTTTTGGACTTTTTCTATTGGGAAGCATCTAGTGAGCAATTTGGTTAGTAGTGACATTATGATGTTGATCTACCTTTCATGGGTGGTTGCTTAGTTTATGTATTGTGACCCATGTCCTTTTACTATTATGCATCATATCAATTGACTCAATCAAGGTATGCCAGGATTTCCTGTGTTCTTCTGTGATGGCTAACATGAGCTCCTACTGACTATTAACTGTTTCCCAAGATTGTTTGTTTGTCCCATTTACCTTCCCCTTTAATAAACCCTGTTATAATATAATATTGTTTGTGAGTAGGGAGGTCTGTCCCCACTCCAGGAAGCTTTTATTTCCCTAGGTTTGTGGGTGGCAGCTTGAGCCAAGAGAGAAAATGTGTGTAAAACCCCTGAAATTGAACTTGGCTGCTGTTACTGCCATCATAGCCTGGCAGAAGGGTTACATAGTTGCTTTCTATAAACACATCAGGGGGTAAACACAGAAGTAGGATAAGAGCTATTTACTCTAAAGGACAATTACTGGCATAAGAGCACATGGCTATAAAATGGCCATGATACATTTAGGCTGTAAATTAGAAGGTTTCTAACCGCAGGCTTGAAATTCTGGAACAGCCTCCTCCAGAAGGAGTAGGGCAGTGCAAAAAAGCAAACTACTTTGGTCATCGAGCTTAAGAAAGGGATTATATGATGCGATTCACTGCACTAGACTTGCTGACACAGGACATCCCTTCTGGTTGTATATTCCTAAATAGTGGTGGGAAATTTAGGAAGCTGAACTACTTCTACTGACAGAAGGAGAACTATTTGGAGCAAATGTTAAACACCACCCACTTCTCAATCTTCAATATAAAATTCTGAACCAATTTAGTCATACAGATATATACTTATATTGGTGGGTGGAATTATTCTCATTTTGATTAAAAATAAAAAACTGGGGAGATAACTTACACTTGGAGTACCTACTTCACCCCTTTTGTGAATATCCTATAAAGTACACATTATAGTTTCATAGCAATAAATTATTTTTTTCCAGAACCCCAATCTTAAAAAAGATATATAAAAACAAAACCACACTTCGAACTAAGAGATATCCACTAAATCCTCACTCTCACTCTTAGTAGATTATCATTTCACATAATTCAGGCAGATTAAACAAAAAGTGTCTTCACAGTAACCACACAAATCTATTCCACATTAAGAATGGTACTACCTCTTCCTGAGTAAGTAATCCATGTCTTAACAAAACATCAATATGTATTCACAATGCTCTTGACATTAGAATCAGAAGTGTGTTAATTAACTTACAAATCAAATCGTAGGTTTTCTCTTTCTTCAAAAAAGTAGTCCATTATGAATTTTCTTACAAAATCTGGATTTAACGTATTATCAATTACTTCTGTTCTTCCAAACTGAAAAAGAAAAACAATAGCTTATAGCAAGAATACGATCTTATATATGTACATCAGCAGTGTGCAATTCAAGAGACAGCAGCATATAACAAGCATGATGTAGGATGCACCACAGATCTCTCCTAGAACAGAAATTATCTATACACTGATGATGTCCACATGAAAAGACTAGAAAAATTTTCTAAAAATCCTGGGGTGGGGGTATTGTTAGAAATCTACCCATTCAGATACAAACAGGGCACATCTACATGTTCACTAATGCACCTTGGATACTGCACATTTCGTTAGTAACTGCTTAATAAAGTACTAACTGAATGCACAGTAACTAGAGTTACTGCACAGTAGCACCAGTGCAGTTATTTTGTGATGCTTACTGTGCATTAGCCTAATAACAGTACATAGTAAGCTATTAGCAAGGTTTTTCACCACCACGCTACTGCTCAGTGTTATTAGGCTAATGAGCAGTAAGCATCCCGTGTAGACACGTCTACAAAGTAGCATGTTTTCTGCTGTATACAATGTAGCCCTAGCAAAGGGCAGCTTCTGTAGCTAAAAAAGTAATAATTATTTCTCCCCAAATAATTCATTTTCAGACATAAGAAATATATGACTCCAGCATTATCCACTTGTTTCTCTTCCCTGTATTCTATTGGTTCATTTGCTTAAAATGAGATTCTCCTTACTTCTATCTCTGCAAAATGGGCATTTTTCCTTCCTCCCCACAGGAAGGATCTGACCCTGCTTTTGAGATGAAAAAAGAAATTTACAGTTTGTACTTGAAGAAGAAACTTTTCATGCAGCTCCCAATTTACAAAGTCTAAAAATATAAAATATGAATTATAGAACAGTAAAGGTTTTCTTCCGTTTCATATTTTTCCCTTTCCTTCAAATGGGTTATTTGCAGAATTTGTATAAAAAACAAAACAAAAACAAAAAAAGCAAAACCTGAAGCCAACATGGTGGGTATGACAGAGTGGGTTGTCTATATCAAGTTATGAACTCCATTTTGAACATATCAAAACTTGCCTGGGGATAGTCTATACCAAGTACTGTATTACAAACTGCCATCCTGACCTGCCAGAGAAGAAGCTTGACATTGAAAAGTTATTAAAACTGGCTATTAAATCTGAATGGCTCAGATGCCCCTTACCCTTAGGGACTAATATTGTTTCTTCATGGACTCCTGCAGATGGGAGAAATGTGACTAGACGAAGGGACTGAACTTTTTCAGTTGAGCACCTGGCAATGGAGATACAAACCTTCCCCAAGAACAGGACACTGTTTATTTTAGGAACTTAAGTTATTTCCTGAATGCCAGGTGCATAAACAGATATAGTACAGACGAATCTCAAGGCGTTAATGAGGCAATAACCAGGGATCCTGGTATTTCTGAATTAAAAAAGATGAATAAAATCACAAATTCTCTGATAAAAACCCCAAAATCTGTTATTAAAATTAGAAGCCCCCACAACCCCATCCTGCCCCCACCCCACTGGTGCTTCTCACTCCCCACCACAGCCCTGCTC